CGTAAACTACACAATGCAGCCAAATGCAGCCTAAACACGCATCAGCGAGGGAACCTGGGAGAGACAGACAATTGGGTGGAACTATTGATAAGTCGTTAACGGTTGGAGTTACTGATCTACGATTGGCTAATTCTTCAAAACTAGGAACGCACTCAACACGTGATATATGATAACACGAGTATTCAGCCAATCATCGGATGAATTAGTTGGTTCCGTTTTGCATACTGGTTCTCCTGCTCTTGTTTCTGTAAAATCCGTAGTTTTTTCCATACTTTTCGTAGCTCGTAGTTTTTCATGAATTTCCATAGAAACTACGGAGAATCCGTAGTAGTTGGAGTCTATGTGTATTATTTTTAAATAAAAAATTATGTTAGATTTAAGCTAAAAATCATATTATCAAACTAAAACACTGGTAGCGTACAGGAATAAAGGTTTAGTAGTAGACAGAAGAAAATGCAGAAATAAATATTAATAACTTCTTAAATTGAAGAAATTACAAATATGTCTAAGTTACAGAAATAAAAATTTTAATATAAATAAAAAATAGTAATTCAAATATGCGCTTTTGCAGGTGATTCCTTTTGAAGTGTTACACACAGAGCACCGAACCAAAATAATGTAGGTTCAAAGTTCATGGGGTTTTGCGACTACTTCATTTCGCGAAAAATTGATTCCCAGTTAATAATCGATATTTCGTAGTAGAAAAATCTGTTTGATCAAAATCTAACATAAACACTAAAGATGTATATAAATTTATTATATATTTTTATTTGCTAACATAATTTCGCATTAATAAGTAACAGATATTTTTTCGATAATAAGTTTTTGCAAAAATTAAATTTGATAGATGACTGTGCACTGTGCAATAAAAGTGTTCCTTTCTTTTAATATGTGTTTCTTTAATGTTGTTTATAAATCAATTGAATGAAAAGGTAGGTATTTGAGTTTCATAACTAAATCGGCAATAAATTGGATTCCACAAAGCAAATAGTACAGTGCAACTTAACCGTAACCGTTCATTGAAATAAACTTGACTTGTGCTAAGACATCTGTCTCTTTAAAAAAAAAAAAAAAAAAAAAAAAAAAAAAAAGGAAAGAAAGAAATTCCCGTTTTTTTACAGGTTTTCAAAAACCAGCTTCTTTTGAATTTATTAGCACGGAAGCAGAATTTTTCCCTTTCGTCTTAAAATACGAAAATAGTTTTCGTGTAGGTAAACAAAGAAATGTAATCCTGAATTGCATAACTGCAGGGAAACAAGATTTCTAACAATATTTTTCAGGAATATATTTCGCTTATGTATTTGTTGCAAATATGGTGATGCAAAAATTTCAATATTTATATTCATTGCCATTAAAAACTAACATGAGTAACAACACGCCAGAAAAATCTATGAAGATAAATCTTATTCAAAGATTTGATGATATAAATTTAATTAAGTTTTATTTGTTTATCTGTGAAAGAATTTTGCTCAAGCTTTGTATAATAGTTTAAATTTTTTACTGATACACCGAACTCCACAAAATCCTTTATGTAAAGAAATCAGTGAAATATACTTGAGTTAGAAAAGTAGCAGAATATTGTTTCTTTAATATTTTACAACTTATTAGCATTTCAAAGTCTTATAAGCATTTTATTTCAATATAAACTTGATTAGGAGGGATTAAAAAATTGCTTGTATGATACAGAGTGTTTGTCAGCGAGATAGCAGTAAAAATGTTGCACACTGGTAGTTCATCTTGGAGTTCGACTAACAGATTTCCATCATCTTAAGCAAATAACCCGTGAGTGCTTTTCTCATTCTAAATAATTCGTGTTAGGAGTACAATTAATTTATTTTAAAAATTAATTCCTGTTTGTTACGACTAGATAAATAACACCCATATACTTAAATATTAACTAAATAATTTTAAAAATGTGCCCATGCGAACGATAAGTTAGAAAAAGACCGTACTTTGTTGTACTAATAATAAGGGTACTTAATTTATAAGTTATTTAGAAAATAATTTAAGGTAATTAAACGGCAACTGGGAGCACAGTATTAATATTATTTAAAGAATTATGAATTAATTTGGTAATACTTAGTTATTTAATTTTTAAATCATTAATAATTTTAATAGTAATTTTTATTTTCTAAAATGTTTTTTGCATAGCGAAAATAGAGTATGGTTTATGGCAACTTGAAGCCCGTCTCCGGTAATTAAATAATTATAGTTTTAATAGTATTTAGACGTCTAATAGACTTTAATAGTCTAATAAATAATATTTTGGTCTAATAAAATAATTAAATAGCGAATGATCATACGGAACAACAAACAGCATATGAGGGTACGCACCACGTCTACTGACAAAGTTACGTGATCAGCACGACGATTTATCTGCAAAGTCACATGACAGCCAAAGCAAAGTATTTACATATAGAAAGAAAATATCCCTTCGCTTTTCCCTTTCTCCCTAGTGTAGTGAAGATCTAAACTAGCAACCTAAACTATCCTTCCACTTTATGGCACGTATCGCCCAAGTTGGCGAACGCGATTTCAGGAAGTTCGCCAAGTGCTGGTTATCTGAGTATCCCCAAATTTTAGAATATATGTTTAAACAGCAAATTTGAAGGTGCATAAGTAAAGGCATATTTTAAGCAGTAATATTGAAAATAGATGTTAGAATGCACATTTTAACAAGAAAATTTTTAAATACAAATTTAGAATATATATTTAAACAGTGAAACTGAAAATATATATTTTATAATAAAAAGGCATATTTTTAGCAGTCATACTGAAAATACAAATTACTGTAAAATTGAAAATAGGAGCTCAGGATACATGTTTAAATTAAAAATATGAAAATAGGAGTTAAGAATGCATGTTTAAATTAAAAGTAAAGAAAGTTTGAAAATACACAAGCACATGGAGAAACCGGAATTCAGAATACATGCTTAAATTAAAAATAAAAGAAATGCTGAAAATTTAGTATAGTTTACAAGATCATGGTAAATTTACAAAGAAATCCTATACTCTGCCCAATTTATGCCCCTTACAATTTCTAGAAATTTGTTGAATACATCAATATTTTGCTCCTTCGAAGAAAATGATACTTTCCAGTTTAAAACATGCGGGAATGCGACAGGGTTGCCGAAGTGGAGCATTCTAGAATTTACTGGGTTACCAGAAAAACAACCGTCTTAAAAGTGCGCAAGCCAAAAATCGCCAATGGGGTCTTATACTCAAGCTGTACCTTGCTTTGATTTTTTTCTGTATGATGCACACATTATTAAATGAAAGGATTAAGCACTATGTTGATATATTTTTTTTAACTGCTACTAGATGAACCATGAATCTTGTCCTCAATATTACTTCAAGGAATTGAGTCTACTGTGGTTCAATTTACCTTTTGATAACAGTATCTGTCACATATTGTCTTGGAAGACTACATCTCACTTTTCAAAGATATTCAAAATTTTAGCTCCTTAATTATGCTTCATTTCTTCCAAAACATTTAATTTGCCAGAATAATTTTTAACATTGAAAGTTTACATACAGCTCTCACAGTTACATACAACCCTAATTAAGCAGTTACCAGTTACATGCAACCTTAATTAACCAGTTACATGCCCCTGCAGAGGCTCCAAAACTATGCGCTGTGACTTCTTCACAGAAGTGCTACAAAATACTGCAAAATCTACATATAGCTCTCCTAGTTACATGTAACCCTAATTAACATACTGCAGTGGTTCCGAAACTATGGGCTGCGACTTCTTCACAGAAGTGCTACAAAATATTGCAAAATCTTCATAATGAATTGAATCAAAATATTTGTCCCAAAATACAAGTGAGAAGCTAAAACTATCTAATTTTTACGTGTTTTGTTTTTACTTGATTTTATATAACAGTTAAGTCACCAGCACAGAATATTCTTGTAAACACAAGATAGCAATGCTGTGCTTTCTTGATTGCTCTATATCTTACTATCTAACCCGAGAACACACACAATGGCTAGAACGACCGGTTCGCATTTCATTCAGAAAAGAGAATTGTGAACTTCTCTTCGTACAGTTGCCAAAGTTACCTCTTCATGCAGTCTGATGCAGGTTTGAGTGTACCAATTTTTAGAGGTTGTTTTTTTTTCCTTTCAAGTTGGATTCCATGCGATTCATGCTCGTCGCAGAAAACTAGTCAAGTCACCAGCAAAAGTAACTATTTCATTATCAGATTAATTAGGAAAATGCTCCTGCAATTTGACAAAAACTTAGAAAGATAATTTTAGTCGTTTTCTAGCCTTGTGAGGTTCTCAAAGATAAAGCAGATAGATGCCATAACAATTGCTTTCTTCTCCCTGTCAGTGGATGCTTTTCTCATGGGGAGTGGGGTGACGTGGAGATTGCAGGTTCACCAACAATGCCAAAAAGGGGAATGTCTATTGGTCACCTCACATCCGTTCTCGGTTTAATCCTAGTATCTGATGCACAAGGGATTTGGTGACTTTATGATGAAAAGTAAACGGGTCACTCTGGTGTTGGCGATAATTTTCAAAAATGCGCCAAGGATACACCGTATACTAGGATTTTACCTCGTTCTCTTAACCCAACAGTATTTGGCATACTTAAGAAAAACTTTTGATTGAAAAAAGGTGCTGCGGCTCGGAAAAATTTTGGAACCACTGAGATACATTAGAAAAAGTCTCTAGTGCCTTAGTAAGCAGCTAAGTGAGACTAATTACGAAGAACTCATAGAACTTATATTGCAACAGAAAACGAATACGAGAAGCTTTAAAAAAAATTGAGGAATGTGAATAACTTAATGCATGAATCAAAAATTTTTTGTTAAGCTTAACTTGTAATCATAATTTTTTAGTTTTTTATACAATATTTATTATTTCTTTACAAACAAGCCATAGAAGTCTCAAAGCTTAAAATGTTGTAAAAACAAGAATTTTTTGTATGCATGAATAATAATTTACCTTGTAAACATGTTTTTAAAATGTAGATTACTAAGGTTATACTTACTTCTTTCCTCAATTTTACTCTACGCTTTCCTCCATTCTTTTCTCCCCCAATTGGTTTTATGATATATCTTGTTTTGCGTTTAGGTTTTGGTTTCGGCGTGGTATCTTTCTTTACTTTTGCAAGTCTTCGTCGAGAATACATGGATGATCTTGAATAACGCCATACTCCGCCAGGTAATTTATAGTTTCTAGGAGAATGGGGCTTTTTAACTTTTTTAGTGTCGGCGGTATCTTTTTTCTCAGTATCTGCCATGCTACATAAAAAAAAAAAAAAAAAAAAAAAAAAAAAAAAAAAAAAGATTTATTGAAAAAAAAGAAGCATGCTTTTTTCATAAAATGATTCACAAAATACAATTTAAACCAGATATAAAACGCTTGAACTCGTTAGGTTTAACACGAATAACGCAAACACAACATTCTTCCATCACAGATACGTGTTCGTGTGTGAATTAAGAAAGCTCAATTTTCTTTATTAATGTAAACAAGTAAATGAAAATATTCTGCTACTAGAAATAAATCACTTTTACAGCATATACCTTATTATTTAAAAAAAAGTATTTTTCAATTAAAAAACCGATGATTTCGAGTTAAATTAATACTCACACTCGCTTTCCCTCTTGCGATTACTGATGCATTGAATGGCATGTAGCCAGATTCAGTAAAGTTAGTTCTTTCAGTAGAAATAAAAAAGGAAGTAGCTTACTTTATAGCATAAACAAATTTTACATATTATGTAATTTTTTTTTGTACCTGCGTATTTTATGTGCACATATACATTTGTTTCAGTATTAATGCTTAGAGAAGTTTTAAATTATGATGTTTTACAGTTCATGTTAATTCATTAATAAATAATATTTGTAAAAATCAAAAGTAACAAAATATTCAATGTATTGACATAAAATTTAAGCTAATATAGTAATCAGATTATTAAGTGACATTTTAGCAAAATAATTAATGATTACAAGCTATTAGTTTGAGAATAAAATGTTCTCATCACCGGTTAACCGTATAATACTTGGGGACCTTACTAGTGAACCGACGTCGTGTTCACCTCTTCGTCCTCTGAATATACTTCTTAAATATTAATAACAATGGCTTACATGTTCGTTAGGTTATCGTCATTTGCTACAAAACAGCTTTCTCAAAAAGTTCCTAAGGTAATCATATACTGCTAATGTGTTTCTTTTGAAGAAACTGCGTTGCTTAAATATGTGTGTGAAACTTAACATGCTTTAGTTAACTTATCTTGTAACGGGAGGTACCTTTAATCTGTATAAATATAATTAGTGCAGAAACGGAAAGAGAATAAGGTATTTCTGTTAATGCCAGTTTTATGCAGTGGTTTCTTTTTTATTTATATGATACCTTATTTATTGTACGCTAGTCCGATTTGAATTTCGGTCAGGCTTAGTTAGAGGTCGAATATGATGCCGGAACGTTTGCATTCTCTTGTTATCTGTTTGTGGATATGGATAACTTACTTTAGTTAGTTGGGCATTCTTCTTAACTTATCATGGCTACTTCGTTGGGAATTTAATTTAATTTCCATTTTTATGCTTAATATAAATGCGTTTACTGGCCTAGTGCTTAAACTGGAGAATGTCTTCTTAAGCATCCGCTTTAGTTGGAAAAAAAAGATTTAATTACTTGCATACAAGTGTTTTTTTTTTTTTTTTTTTTTTTTTTTTTTGTATAATATGTAACATAAATAGAAAATGTTTTACGTTGCATCTTTTTTTTTAAATGTTCTTTCCAAAGCCGTTCTTGCACAAATCATTAGCCTTTTATTAGTTTAACACTAGCTTTTTATACACTTAAATTATCTGTGGAATATGTTGGAATCTGAAAGTATTTCATCTGCATATATAATTTGTTTCTTCTATTTATGGTTGTGTTTTAAATTCACATAAGGCCACAAATTACCCAAGTTTCAGAAATATGTACTTTCTCTAAAATATCCATTCCATTTCTAAAATGTAATAAATTTTATTGCATTTTTCTTCCTATAAGAAGGTAAAAACGTTGATAATTGTTCTGTGGGGGATGAATGATCAATTTTATGCAATAGTGGGCTTTATTAAAAGGTCTGTTATAGTTACATAAAATGTTATAAGTTGCATACATTATTGGTCTATATAAAAATGGGGAAACATTCATAATGAGTGTATAATACCACTTTAGCATATAAACTTGCTCAACAAGAATATATTATTCTTAAAATGAAAATATCAAACTGCTACATAACCGTTCATTTTATTGTGAAGTATGTACATCAGGGCATATGCTGATTTGCTGATTGTAGAATCTGCTTTTAGGAAAAGAAATTTTTCTGTTACTATCTGCATAATGAAATTATTCATTTTTATTATGTTTACGTAAAGCTGTCTTCAACTATTTCGATTTATAATTTTTTCTAGAGTTTCTTTCTGTTTATTGTTAGACCATAAGTTACATTATACCCGCCCTCCCGAATTCATACATACATACCACTGTCCTCAGTAACCCTGTCTCATTTGAGCAATATTTTATTCTCAAAATAACCGTGTCTGATAACCTTAGATTTGCTGTCTTCAAAATTCAGAATAACAATTTTGAAATGTGCCACACTGCAGAAATATATAAATGTAAATATTTTGTAATCAATAAAAGTTCATGATCTTGGACATTTCAAGAGTTAAAGATCATCTAAGTCATCTGTTGCTCAAACAAGTGAACGTGGAAAACTCAAATATTAGTAAATGAAAGTTAAGAGGATCATTTTCTGAAGCTCAGCAATATTTGCAGCCTAGTGATAAAAAAAATTGTCCCGATTACCAGAAATCTGCAATTTCTGTAAATTGTGGGTACTTTAAAGGCTGAAGTGCTTCATTATTTCATAAACAATTAATTCAGTATAATATATTATAATTAATTACAAGTTCTGCATGTTACTAGATTTAAATTAATGATCTGAAATCTACAGATTTCTGGAAATGACGGAAATCTTGATTGTTCCAGATCTCGCACTTGGCATAATGTTCAATTTATAGGTACTTTTATACTACATCAGTGTTGCAAGCTCTCCCGATTTCCAACCATACTCCTGCCACCCGGAATTGCAACATATTGCTTCCTCCTTTCTCTCATTTGTAAAATTTTTCACAATTCTTATGTAGCTTGGCTTAATACTTCATTATTTGCACTAAAAAAGTGATTTTTGACCTCTGAAAGTGCTTGTTATTTTCCCTAGATATATATATAAAAGAAAACCAAACTCATTTCATTAGTTCGATATGGCACATTTCTGCTTTTTGTGCTTGAGTCCGAAAGCATTGTGTTGTAGTTCTCCAATGAGAATCAAGTGCCACTGTGTGGCATATATAAGCTAGTGAGCACAAAGGAAGATGAGGCTGTTTATTTTGTTTGTCTCGCCAGTAAGCAGTGTGCGTTTCACATGCTTCCCAGAAACAGTTTAACAAACTGCAGTCTTTTGTTTTAATTATGTGTGTAAAAAAATGTAAAATACTCATGTACTTTGCATAAATCGTACACAGATAACTTTCTTTTTAGTATTTGGTCAAGGAAATGTAATAGTGCAAGGTGTGCCATTTGTCACTACAATTTTTTGATTTCACACGGTGGTGGTATTCTTGCCAACTACTACAAATTCTTCATACTTTCTGCAGAAGGCCATCAAGAACTACAAGCTATGGAAAATACTTAAAAGGGGCAAAGGAAATGGTATAAAACGGAACCAACTTATCTATCTGATAATTGGTGAAATGCTCGGGATGTGATGTATCACGTGCAGTGTTGATGGTCTTGTAGGTTTTGAAGCGTAATCAATCATAGATCTGCTAATTCCGACTGTTATCTTTCCAATCAAGTATCCTGCAGATGATATTTAGTTATATTATGATGAGAAAAATAGCACATGCTTTTTGTGACATTTAAGAAAATAGTGCTGTAAAATTGAGAGAGGTAAAATTTCTTCTAAAAAAAAATGGTTAAATGGATATTATAGGAGTCGAATGCTATTTAATTAAATTTCTATTTTAAAATAACCTTCATATTTTAGTTTTGTATCAAAGCAGCTTTTAAATACTCAATTAGAAGTTATGCTATTTATTAATGTATACAGTCAAATTTTAAATGATTGAATTGTAAGTATTTTCTTGTTTCTATCTACAGTTTATTTATTTATTTATTTATTTATTTTTTCATTTCCTTGTAAAAATCAATCCGAAAACCTCTTAAAGGTACATGATATATGAATTCTACAGAACCTCTTAGCACATTTTTAAACAATTTTCATTGTATTTATAGAAATATTTTACATAAAATTTCTTTGCATATTTGATAACTCTTATTCTTCACTATCTTTCTACATTGCAATTTCCAAGACAAAAAGTCTTTTTGTAGTATTGAAAGGGGTATTTTATACCATTGCTCTTGAACAGCTTTCCAAAGTCCAAGAAGTGTTTATAGGTCAACATTTGGACAATCCTGTTTTTAAAAGTCCAAAAATCCATGATGTAGTTATCGAGTGATTTAGTACGGATATTAGTGAAGGGTATGACCTCGAGACCAGTTCTATTTTTTCTGGGAAATTAACAATGAATTTTGACATATGGCTGCTTGCTTTGTTTTGGTGCATTTCTATTGATTGATGGCACTGTGAGTAAATAGGAGGTTGTTCGGTAAAAGTTTACAATTGGGTGCCACTTGTTTTGTTGGAGATTCTTTTTTGACGCCAAGATCGGCGCCACAAAGGGACAATTTCAAGATGGCCGCTACACAAAACCAAGATAAAAAGTCAAAGAATTGCACAAACTCTGTGTCCATGTACACATCGATTAAAAAACATCCCAGAATTGCACAAACTAAGCATTGCACACTGCCTTAAATTTGTCCATGTACATATAATTTTCATTAAAAAAAAAAAATTGGGAAGCTAAAACAGGGTTAAAACTATCATGGCAACTAGAAATGAGGTTTTATTGCCAAAATTTTTTTTAAATTTTATCGCTAATCGAAGGGGCACTCAATTCTACACTAGAGCCAGTATTTCATATTTGATAATTGGGTATAAAGTATGATCCTGGTATTATATGGAATTTATCTTAGCATTTCTTGGCACTCTCTTTATTTTTTAATTTGCCATTGTATGGAAAACCAGCAGTAATCATAAATTCCTTCGAAAAACTTACTTTAGTTTTGAAAACTTACTAAACTTTACTATACTAAAACTTACTTTAGTTTTTTTAGTTTCAAAAAACTTACTTTATCTTTGCACCATATTTTAAGATTTTTCCCCCCTCTTTGATGGTAATAAATGGATTTCTCGTTAGAGTAGACTGAAGGGTACCTCTTGTATTATCGAGAAGTTATTTCATTTACTGCCAAGTTGTTGTTTCATTTATGGTAATCTGAGTAGTTGGATGTTCCGTAAATAACCTTTTACTTAGAATTGGGTGCTCTTTTAACTTTTTAAGTGAAATTATACCGTTGTATATATGGACAAAGCCAAGGGAGGGCACATTGCCAAGTTTGTGCAATTCTCTGATGTTTTTTAACCCTTTGAGAGTCGGTATGTACAGTCAAAAGTCTTTAATCAGGACTTCGGTGATTCCGGATTATAGATCATCAGTTTAAATCTGGTAAGATGGCATGCAGAAATTATAAAATTAAAAATATGAAACCGTAATTTATAAAATAATGAGCAATTATGATCTAAAGGGTATCAAAATTTACAAAAAAAGAAGCTTAATATTTATTTGTTTACTTTATTAAACATTTCTTTCAACACGCGCATGCGTAAAGCATACATTACGCATAGCCGGAATTAGAAAATTGCAACCAGAAAACTACAGTCAAAAGTCGTTAATTCGGACATCCATAATCCGGAATGATCTATAATCCGGACCTCAGAGCTAAAAACTTTCTGCGCATGCGCCGCATTGACACATGCGCATAGGCGTTTACGCGTGCACGTAAGACCTCTTACGACTGCGCATTTTATGTATAACGGACGGTGTAAGCTAAAATTATCTAATTATCTATTTCAGTTAATGTTGGTGATTGCGTTGTTTCTTAATTTTTGAGTTGGATCCGGCTTATTATTTTTTGCAGACTGTAAGAGCAATACTATAAATGTAAACTTGAACTTTCGATTATG